TATCATATGCCATGCTCATACAGTAGGCTATCATGTAAGGCTACGAAGAACAGATAACAATGTGGTCGAGTGAATAAACGGAAAGTATAACGTTAGATCAGAGGTTCTTTTACTTGTCAGAGAAACAAGAAAGAAGGATATTCTAAAATAAATAAAAATTCATACTGAGGTTTAAAATCTAAAACTTTGAACAGGGTCACCCAATTATGACGTCTCCCTATCCTCAAAAGGGAGTTAAACAAAGGTTTTTGTAAACCTGTGTTATGAAAATGGTACTTTGTTGGTCTTTCAGATAAGACGTATTATAAAAATGTTTAAAGAACGTGAGAAAGTTCCACAAAGTGACTGTTGAAAGGATTCGCCGTATCTTTAAACAAACTTTGAGTCAGTTTTATGGCTTGACTTTCTCATTCCGACAACGTCAGTGGCTTTGCCACGTGCTGGGCCACGATTATCATTGATAGTTTAAACATACAATACCCCGAATTCGAACAGGGTGAAAGTCAATACTTATGTGATAACGTTGTGGTGAGAAGAAATTTGCATTTTGTCTTTGATGCTATTAAATGTTTTTGCCTGTCTTGGGCTTCTGGTGAATTCTTTTTAATGAATAGAAGGGTGATTAAAGTGTTATTGCCTAACTGTTTGATTTCACTCTGCTAAGAAAATTGAAATAGATCTATGTATGCTAAGCAAATTACTCAAGAAAAAAAAGTAGGCCTACGGGTATTTTAACGCTACATTGAAAATCGTCACTTAGTATTTGTTAACACAAAACAATGCATCCACAAATAATAATAAATAATAATAAATAATAATAATATATGACATTTATATAGCGCATTTCCAACAACAAAAAATAGCTCAATGCTCTTTACATTGGAATACCCATTGTCAAAACCTTTCTTACTACTTCCTGTCTTCTCTTGCAATATATTATATTAATGCACACACACACACACACACACACACACACACACACACACACACACACACACACAAACACACACACACACACACACACACACACACACACACACACACACAAACACACACACAAACACACACACACACACACACACACACACACGGACTGTTTTCATTCAGACAAAGGTCTAGGTACAGAACAACTATAATAAAAAAAAAAGATTGTTTAAAATCTTAACTAAACAAGAACAAAATAAGCATTAAGATCCCGATCTATATTGCGACTGAAAGAAGTTCTAGTATTCGACCCACTGTGAATGCCGTCTCAAGAAACAGAAGGAAAAAAAAACCAAGACTTTCTTCAAAAGATCACGTTTACAGCCACGGAATCACTTTTATTTTGTTCTATTATACAATGTATTCCAATAGAATATCATGCCTTCGAATTCAAATAAATGGCACATGATGTAGGCTAAGGAGTTTTATTACCCCAAAATTAATGTTATTTGACATTTCTGAGGAATGATCGATCGACCTATTACATCACAAACCAATCGTTTAAAAACAACATACTAATACATGTACATGTATAGGTGGCGTCGGTGGCCTAGTGGTTAGGCTCTCAGACTCGCAACCGTAAGGTCGTGGGTTCGAATCCCGTCAGGGGCCCGGCGTTGTGTCCTTGGGAAAGGCACTTTACACGAATTTTCCTCACTTCACCCAGGTGGGAATGGGTACCCGGCTATAGACAGCGAAAGATCTTGTCAGTTTGTTAGTGTTTGAGCGCTTAATCGGCTGCTTGCACTGTATGTTTTCCGGGAAGCTGAGAATGTTTCGGAATGTTCTATGGTCTGCTGGGGTAATAATATAGTGTAAAGCGCATAGAGCCTGCTGTTGAGCGGGGATATGCGCTATACAAATGCTATCTAATGTTATTATTATAGCGAAAATTAAACAACAATAAACATATCATGATAACTTCACACATCGTGTCACTAGACTTTTGGGCTTGTTTTCATTTTTAATGAGTCATCTCGAAATCATCTTCACAAACGCTTATTAACATCTGAGTGGACGTAAACCTAAGATCATCAAACGATAACACCCTACTTGTGACACCTGTAAAATCATACAAATCATATGGTATGAGATCTTTCTCATATCTTAGTCCATTTATGTGGAACAGATTACCCATAAAACTTAGACAAATAAAAACACTTGATAGCTTCAAAAGACACCTTAAACATTTTCTTTTCCGACAGGCCTATCCTTCATCAGCTTTTAACGTTATTTTTCATTATAGTTGTTCTGTTCCTATGTCTGGATAAAAATAGTCTGTGTGTGTATGTGTGTGTGTGTGTGTGTGTGTGTGTGTGTGTGTGTGTGTGTGTGTGTGTGTGTGTGTGTGTGTGTGTGTGTGTGTGTGTGTGTGTGTGTGTGTGTGCGCATTGATATATATCGCGTGTGAAGAAAAGAGAGAGAGAGATAGGGATTGTGAAAGATGAGTATTACTATGAAAAGCGCAGTGAGCTACTTTTTTGGAATTGCGCTATATAAATGTAAAAATATATTATATTATTATTTTTTTATAAACCACAATTGTGCTCTCACTCCATTAGAATAGGGATCCACCATGAAGACTACTCGAAGTCTGGATTTTAATGGGTAGTAATTAAAAAGAAAAGGAAATGGTACTAAATAACAACAACAACTCTGTTTGGAAAAAAACC